CTAATGCTGGACTAGAGAGAAGATTATGGGCAGAAGCAGTGAACATGGCGTGCTTCCTGATCAACCGTGGACCTCACACAGGTATCGAGTTTAAGACTCCTTATGAGGTGTGGTATGGTAAGCCTGCTGATTACTCTTCATTGAAAGTTTTTGGGTGTCCTGTTTATTATCATGTGGATGAGGGTAAACTGAACCCAAGGGCAAAGAAGGGTGTATTTGTGGGTTACGGAGATGGAGTTAAGGGATTTTGAGTCTGGTCACCTTCCGAGCATCGAGTTATACTCAGTAGAAATGTGATATTTGATGAGAAATCTATGTTTAACCCCATGTTGAAGGTTACTGTTGTTGAAGGTAGCAGGAATGTTGATAAGTAGGTGGAGCTGCAAACTCTCAATGAGAGTGAGTTTGAGTACCAATGTGGAGAAGATCAACACGAGGACGTTTCTACAAAGCCAAAAACTTCAAAGTGCAGTGCAAGAGCTCAATAGTCTATAGCTTCCGGTAGACCAAAGAGAGCGACTGCAGGAATACCTCTAGAGAGGTATGGGCTCATTGTTATTTGGGTTCGGGTTCTGGGCCTGGTCTGTAACCGTTTCCTTTGCCAAATATGATTCGGTTTAGACCCACATGGAGAAGTACTATAAATACTTCTCATACTCCTCTGCAATCTGTAATCTCCTCGATATATTGAAACTGACTCTCTCTCGCCCATAGACTAGCTAACACACATCGTGTTAGTGAACCACGTAAATCGTGTGTCTGTGTTTTTCGATTATCGCTTTCGTATTCCTGTTTATCGATTCTGACAATTTCCCGATCCGTAGCAGCGCGTTTATAACAATAACAAACTTTGATGTTTGGTGATTATTTGGTCAATTAAACATATAGCATTCACTTTTTGTATGCTAATGTGGCCTCTTGTATACGATGATTATGAGTAAAATATAAATACTCCATCAATCATTAAATTTTCTTTCGATCAAAGAATTTTAATCCAATGATTATACCAATAGTCTTGAATATAAAGATTTCATATTCGAATTTTTTATGTAGCACCTAATTATAAAAATCAACCTATGTCACCCTTATAAACAAACATTAAATTGTCTTATTTCGTGTTTTTTACTCCGTGGCATAACATATGCAGTGGCGGAGCCACTCATCAAGGTGGGGGGTGTCTGCAGCCCCCTTGGCCTTGGAGGAGGGGCAAAAAATTATCGAAAGAAAGAATTGGTAGGCTGGTGGGAGATTTGAAACACTCTTATTCATTGTGTGTCTCTTTCGTTGCATTAAAATAATGCATTCTTAATTGCTTGCCAATATATACAAAATATGTGTTAACTCACTGCATAAAAGTTATTCGCCCATAAACTTTGTCACTTCACTTCTATGATAAAACTTTTGATATGAACGTACTGAACTAAACATTACTTTTTTTTCAAATACATCTCACACAATAACATCTAATGATGACAAACATCATCAATTTTCAAATATCATCCCAACAAGTCCTTTCAAATCTTATGAAAATTTTAGTCAGTTGAATTATATATTTTTTTCTATTTATCATTTGACAACAACTTCAAAAACTCACTATGAGTTGATGAGTTAGCCAAAAAAAGTAGAAACATAAAAGCAGAAATTATATTCATATATTTATTTGCTTCTCAAGTTGACACTTATTCTACCTGTTGTCATATCAATATGGAGAGATTGTTTTTATCCATGAAATATATAAAAAATGATCTTCGAAACTGGATGAACGATGCGTTGGTGGCATATATTAAACAAAGTTTTGTGTTGGTTTGGACAAGGAATGTGTTATACAATGTTTCAAAATATAAAATGTCTTCGTTATTCATTGTAAATGGTGTAAGTCGTTATGTAATTGTATAAATCTTAAGTATTAAGTTGTTGACTTATTAGAATTGACTTTTGTTTTATGTAGTCGATTTTTTAATGATATGAAAAAAGCACCCCCTTGATCAATTTCCTGGCTCCGCCACTGAACATATGTCGTAACCCAAGTACTGATCTAAAAAACTTGAATTGTTGAGAGATTTCCATGTACGCATACTAATCACTTCTTCTCACGTCCCTTCAAATGAAAGTCACATACTTTAAGTTTGCATACGGTGTGTAATACACATGTGCTTTAAGTCAAGAATTAATATTGAGGGTTTGTGAGGACTTGAATACTTGAAATCATCAAGGACGAACCGACTCTGGTACCATATCATAAACCAACTGGTCCCAATAGCCTGAGTTGCTGGGATTAGCTTGTTGTTGAAATGGTGTCAGCCAGGTTCTTATCTTATTGAGATAGGTCTTCTATTCAAATCCCGACAACCCCATTTTGGGAAAATGCAAGCTTCAAGTCCATACGAGTGACTTGAATTTGAGGGAACAAGTTACTATATGATATAAAATCTATCATTGAACATCTTCTAACAACTCGAATTATTGTATTCAAATGGTTCTTGACCACTAAGTAACTTAGAGTAGTTTTTAAGAACCTTTCTGATGGGTAATGAATCCGAATGAAGGCGGGCTGGCGAGAAATAAATGGGGTCGAGAAATGGTGATGGAACAGCGCATCTCAATCGGCGGTGGATAGTTGTGGTTGTGGAGCAAGTAAAGTCGTCGAAGTTGGTGACCGGTTAAAGGAGCCCCGGCATGGCACGCGGCAGACTTAGGCAGGCAGACAGGCTCACGCCGCTTTGCAAATTTGACTCTCTCCGCCAAGCCAATGGATATTCTATTCTACAATTAACAATGTCAAGACGCCTGGTGGTAATTTCAGAACCACACTCTAGACTCGGGAACCAACCCATTTGTCTATAGATCTAAATTTTGAGAAATTTATTTTTGAAATTAAATTCTTTTGTGTTTGATATTTAAAAGAATTCATTTGCAATTCTAAATTTTGAATTTTACGGAATTGGAACTAGTTATAGCAATTCCGAGGAATTGAGATGGAATTTGCAAATGAATTCCACAAGTATATACTAAATTATAATAGAATAACATAATTATCCTCATTTATTAACAAAATTACTTCTACATATATTAATTGACGCCAATTGATGCAATATGAGAAACGTCACCAAGAATTTGATTGCAACGTTAGTAGCATATATGCTAGTTATTTTTATTTTTGATTCGATTGTATAAGTACTTTGAGAAGGCACAACTAGATTGTAGGATTCATCCACGAAATATTAGAAAATAACTAATTAATAGAGTATAAACACACAAGAACACTTTTGATATTCTACGTATGAGACCAAAGAAGTTTTTTAGAAGATGAATTTTCAATGAATAATGTTGTTTTCCGAAAATTAATAAGGGTATAGTTAGAGAAACTTTTATTTTAATTCAATTATAAACATATACCAAACATGGTTTGAGAATTCAGTTCACTTATTTCTAAAGATTGAATAAGACTACCAAACACAGGAATTCTACACAGTAATTCATTTTAGAATGAAATAAATTTTCAATTCATTTGGTACCAAATAGTCTGTTAGAGTACATATATTCTGCACATTGTGTTGGATGGCTTAAGATAGGGTGAGTAACCTTAGGGTGAGTAACAATGAGTAACCAAATATGGACCCTTCTTTTAAGTGGCTGCAGATCTAAGGGCGGAGAATTAAAGGAATTTATTTTCTCTAGTTTTCTTAATTGGATCATATCTTCTTCATTCTAACTCGTATTTTAATTTTTTTTTGCATAGATGGAACGCGTTCGTTGTGCTCTACAAATGATATCCATTTTCAATATTTTTTGAGAATTTTTTTTCATCCCTCTCATTACCAACTCCATACCATATGGTATCTCCTACGTTGTTTAGTCATTTTCGGAAATTTTTGCACAAAAGGAACGATTTAATCATGATCTATTGGATTTCAAAATTTTCTGGGGGAAAAAATTCCATACCTCTCGTTACCAACTCCATACCATACTATACCACCCTGGTATGAGGTGGTATTTTTCATACCATATGGTATGCTGTTATTTAATACCAGTCAATACCATATGGTATTGACTGGTAATAACTGGCCAATTTTTTTTTTTTGTTCCAAAAATATCAAAGTGGATATCATTTTGAATCGTTACCAACTCCATACCATACTATACCACCTTGGTATGAGGTGGTATTTTTCATACCATATGGTATGTTGTTATTTAATACCAGTCAATACCATATGGTATTGAATGGTAATAACTGCCAAAATTTTTTTGTTCCAAAAAATATCAAAGTGGATATCATTTTGAAGAGCACAATTAATCTGATCTAACTGTGCAAAAAAAAATTAAATTCCGATTTAAAACGAGTGAGAAATCGTCCGTTAAAGATTAATGATTTTTCCAGGATAGAGAAGGAGGCGCTGATGTGGCAGATTCTTATTGGGTTATGCATGAGGTTACTCGCCACAAGGTTACTCACCGGATCCGCTCCCGTGTTGGATTGTGTATCAACCAGTTAAATGAACCGAACCAATGGTTCGAATCTCGAATATGAGTCCCAACCCTAACAAATGACATACTTTACGCGCCTATTATTGTGTATCAGAAAGCCCAAATGAAGGATGCCTTATGAAATGGAACAAGTGTTCTTATTTTTTAGGAATAAGAAACCTCATTCATCCAAGAAATTTAATATTGTGCATGTAAATAGGTATGTGATTTAATTTACTATCCGAGCCTCATCAATATATCCTTATTTACTTAAAAAATTATTATTTTTTAACTTTGTCCTTAGGAGAACCATTATCAGAGGTCTTCTATCTCATTTAATGATTGAACGACTGTTCTAGTTTGAAAATTGGTCTCCAAACAAGAACTCCATTAGCTCGTGGTATTTATCCACTCAATTTGAAGAAATCAACTGTTTTTCTCATTCTTATTATTAAAATAAAATCCATTTATTATTTTTTTTTAAAACTACAAAAGAACAGCAAATATACAGTGTGAAATCAAAATTCAACGAAAGCAAACTCAAAAGAATTGATCTACCGGCACCAAAAATATTATTATTATTTTCAAAAAGCCCTCTCTCCTCTTTTCCTCAACTGAACCCCCCGCGTTTTCTCTCCCTCGCTTTCCCCATTTCTCCCCCCCCTCTCTCTCTCCTCTCCTTCTCTCAACCAAATATTCCGCCGGCCTCCGCCGCCGCCAACCACCTCTTCTCCACCTCCACCTCCGCCTCCAATTTCGGTTCAATTCCACAACCAGTAGCAGCAATTCAACCCATTTTCTTCTTCTTTCCCCTTCCCCCCTGCTGCTCTGGCAGCCAGAGCAAAAAAAGGCAGAGCAGCAGCAGCTAATTGAAATGGGCAACTGCAACGCCTGCGTGCGCCCGGATTCTCCGCCGCGGGAGTCCAAATCCCACGGCGGCGCCAGGAAGAAGCCCAACAGCAGGGAGAAGAAGCCCAACCCGTTCTCCGAGGACCCGATTCGCTCCCCGGCCCCGATCCGGGTCCTGAAGGACGTCGTCCCCGTGAGCCACCGCCCCCGGATCGGAGACAAGTACATCCTGGGCCGGGAGCTGGGCCGGGGCGAGTTCGGGATAACGTATCTGTGTACCGACAGGGAGACGAAGGAGGCGCTCGCCTGCAAGTCGATTTCGAAGCGGAAGCTGCGGACGGCGGTGGACATAGAGGATGTGAGGAGGGAAGTGGCCATCATGGCGAGCTTGCCCGACCACCCGAACATCGTCAAGTTGAGGGCGACTTACGAGGACTACGAGAACGTTCATTTGGTGATGGAGTTGTGTGAAGGAGGGGAGCTGTTTGACCGGATTGTGGCCAGAGGGCATTACAGCGAGCGAGCTGCGGCGAGCGTGGCGAGGACGATCGCTGAGGTTGTGAGGATGTGCCATGCGAATGGGGTCATGCACAGGGATTTGAAGCCCGAGAATTTCTTGTTTGCGAATAAGAAGGAGAATTCGCCTCTGAAGGCCATCGATTTTGGGTTGTCTGTGTTCTTCAAGCCTGGTGGGTGGGTGGTGGATTTTCAATTTCTGGGGTTTTTTGCAATTTGCTTGGTTGATTCGATTTAGAAGTTGAATTCTTGGGATTTCGGGTTGTTATCTCTACTCTTGTCCTGCTTTCTGACCGTTTCAATTTCCATTATTTTTCTGGTGTGGGTTTTAGGATCTGATCTTTAAAGGGTATATCTTGTTGTTGTTGTTATTGTAGGGGAGATATTCACTGAGATTGTTGGGAGTCCATACTACATGGCGCCAGAGGTGTTGAAGAGAAACTATGGGCCAGAGGTTGATGTGTGGAGTGCTGGAGTGATACTTTACATTCTGTTATGTGGGGTTCCTCCATTTTGGGCAGGTACCCTTTTTTATTTCACAGCATTGAAAAAAGTGTTCTTTCACAAGTACCAGCATGATAAGAGCTGGAAAGGGGAAAACCCAATTGCTAAAAAGTGCTGTGGAATGATTGATGGGGGATTTTAAGAATTTGTTGTGCTTTTTGGGTTGGCAGAGAGTGAGCAGGGTGTTGCCCTTGCAATTTTGAGGGGGAATCTTGATTTCAAGAGGGAACCATGGCCCCAGATTTCAGAAAGTGCCAAGAGTCTGGTGAGGCAGATGTTGGATCCAGATCCCTCCAAGCGCTTAACTGCTCAGCAAGTGTTAGGTATGCACCCTCTCAATCTGGCCATGACATTGTCCGTTTCAGGTTCTTGCAGCATCAAGGATTCATTTCGCGTGTTAAATAGCAGGAAGTTTTCATTAGTCTTCAAGAGGTTTGAAGAAACTTAAATATGAGCATTTCTTTATAATGATGGGCAGCCCTTGTTTGGATTTGAATTCTTGAGGGACTTTTGTGATTAGCCGTCAGAGAGGAGGATGCTTGCTTAGGGTGCTGAAGTTGAGACTTCTGTTAAAGCTAAATAGTTTCTATTTTGGTGATTGTACTTCTATAGACTACTGAAAGTGATGGGGAATCAGGGAACATAATAGCAAAAGAGGCTCATTAGCTGTGGTATTTGCTTATCATGCGTAACTGATAGAAAAGGAAAACTATCTACCTCTGATGTTGGTAAAGTGATAAACAAGAATGCTTCCTCTGATTGTGAAAAAAGCTGACTTGTTCTAACTGCTGGTTCAACTAATGATCCTTTGATTTGGTTGGTATAGATCATCCATGGATTCAGAATGCAAAGAAAGCTCCAAATGTCCCGTTGGGGGATATTGTGAGGACGAGGCTCAAGCAGTTCTCTGTGATGAACAGATTCAAGAAGAAAGCACTCCGGGTCATTGCTGAACACTTATCACTCGAAGAGGTGGAAGTCATAAGAGACATGTTCACTTTGATGGATTGTGACGGTGATGGCAAAGTATCATACGAGGAGCTGAGAGCTGGCCTTCGGAAGGTCGGCTCACAGTTGGCCGAGCCGGAGATCAAGATGCTGATGGAAGTGGTAAAACACAACACACACGCTTTATTATCAATTATCAGGGTTCGAATTATAAATTTCTCTTTCATAATTTACTAAGCCTCTGTAACTTTTGTTTCATGTTTAGGCTGATGTTGATGGAAATGGCGTGCTGGACTACGGCGAGTTTGTAGCAGTCACAATCCACCTGCAGAAGATGGAGAACGATGAGCACGTCCGCAGGGCGTTTGTATACTTCGATAGGGATGGCAGTGGATTTATCGAGCTGGATGAGCTACGAGAGGCATTGGCCGACGAAAACGGTGAAACAGACGAGGATGCCCTTAATGACATCATGCGAGAGGTAGACACAGACAAGGACGGGTGCATTAGCTACGACGAATTCGTGACGATGATGAAAGCTGGAACCGACTGGAGAAAGGCTTCGAGGCAGTACTCGAGGGAGAGGTTCAAGAGCTTGAGCATCAACCTTATGAAAGACGGGTCCCTCCAGCTCCATGACGCGCTCACTGGCCATGCGATTCCAGTGTAAGGGAGAGCTATCTTGGTTGCTCGTGGATCGCTCGCTGAATGTTTTCCTGTCCGTTTCTAGCTTTCGTTGCCATTGTATAAACCAAGAGTACAGCTTTGGACGAGAATGGACGAGCCAGGAGAAGGCACATTATGGTGCTGCTGTTGGATGGTTTTTCGGGTTCGAGTTTACAGAGAGATCATGACAAGAGCTTCTGGCTGGCCTGCTTCGCGGCGGAATGGCGGGTTTGTTGTGAATTGTGATGCTTCTTTTTTTCCTGGCCCATTTGTATATTTGTTGTGTCGTTGGGGGTTTGAGAGAGTATTCTTTTGTTTTCTTAGTTTGGGTGTTGGAATGTGTTTTTCTTTATACAGTTTATTCAACCGTCAATGGCTGCCAGTTCCAGATGGGGGAGCTGAAATGTGTATCAACCAAAGCATACACAGAATGGCTGAAGCCAAGTATCCATTTGTAATGTTTTGAACTGTACATTGTTTTCTTTGTGCGGTTTTAAAGAGAAAAGGGTCCATTTGCAGGCGACATAGTCTATCTGGGCGGCTACATTCGGACATGTTATCCCGAGTTTAACAAAATCTATCTCAAACTCGCCTCATTTCCATCCCTATTAGTGGTTAGGTAAGTCCCTCAAGTGGCTCGAGACTCATAAAATGCTTAAGTGATTACCTCCATTTAAGGGTCTAAAAACTTACACTTTGTGCATTTCTTTGTGGAATTCTTGAACATTTCATTCTCGAAGGCTCTTAAAAGCAAACCGAACTTAAATGTCTACCCTAGTCTTTTGCTGGAGTGAGATTAGGCCTATCAAACAGTTAAAATGGGTGTGCTCGAGATCGTTCAATCTAGTTTTGTTCAATGTTTTTTAGATGGTACATAAATTTTAAAGATATTTTGATGTTGATGGACTTTGAAAAAAAACTTTTTTGTCATCCTCTTCCGAACGGTATTTTGGACGTTTCCTACATAATTGGCAGACTCGGACGAGAAAGACGTGCCACCACTAGTAGAAGTGTGGCAGAAAATAGTAACAAAGAGGTACATTACTACATTTGTTAAACTTGATTAAGGAAAATTAAAAGTTTATAGATTTATTTGTCACTTGAGTCAAATTACAAGGATGGAATGTGAAAAAAAGCTGTAATAGAATATCCAAAATGTGATTGTTCATCCCAAAAAATAAGAAGTCCAAGATGTTTGGCGCAAATTCAATGCAAGCCGGCGGGGATTTTCAACCATTCTAGAAAGAGGGACCAAACTTCCAAAGTACAACAAGAAACATTTAGGACTTATGACTAGTAATATTATAAGGAATTCAAATCAAAGCCTTTCATGTTCCATTAAATGATTCCTCCGTATTTTCGCAAGAGTTCTTATTACTTTCACTACACCAAAAATAAGAAGATAATTTAATCTGCATAATTATGTCAATAGACACCTTCGTGATTTTTAATGGAGTACATCTCATTTGTTTAAAGTTAAATTGTTTATCACTGAAAAATTAAATAATTGTATTATATAAGATAACATTCATTTTCATATATTTTAAACATGATAATATTTTATTATCAAACTTTATGTTCCATGTAGAAAATCATACAACATTCGTCATTCAGTAAAATGAAAGAAATTATGTCGTGTCAAATTTGAAAAAACGATTATCATTGTGTATATCTGAATGAACATTTACTGTACTAATTTTTTTTAAGAAGTTGAAGTTAAATAAATAACATACGCTAATTCTGAAGGGAAGAATAAGATTTGAATTATGGACCCGAAATCCGAACAAAAAAATTCCGTCTACTGTCCTTTATTGTGTAAATCTATAACCAATGAACATTTAGTGTACTAAAATTTAAAGTAATAAAATATGCTAATAATTCCGAATTGATGAATAATGTTTGGATTATGCATCCAAAATCCGGGGATATCTGTCATGCACAAAAGGAATTAGTCCAGTGATACTATTATTAATAGTCTTAAATTTGAAGATTCGAAATTATAATCTCTTAACTAGCAATTAATCAAAAACCAAACCTATAAAAATACCTTCTTCTTCTCATTTTTCACCTAACAAGGCAACTAGGTTCGTTCTTTTTTCTCCTACCGATGATGAAAACTGCAAAATAGCCAAACCTCGTCTATTTCCTTCTTTCAGTTTCTGGACATTTCAAAGTTTTCGTACTAATTATTGTTGTGCAAGACAAGACTTTTGGTCACCCAAATTCCACGGAGCAGACTAATACAAAGAACAAAATTGATTGACGTGGGAAATTTTGACCGACTTAGATTGATGATGATGATCCCACTCCGAGTCAGCCACCAGACACCAACAAATCGCCCTGCTCTCTTCATTTGACGGCATCAGCGTCGGCGGATTTTACAAGTTCTGGGAGCTAACCAAAATCACATGAAATGCAACATCGTTGTCACGCATTATCTCCGTTGGAGATTGCAACATACCGAAAAGCAGGATTCGAGCTTCTACGAATCATACCGCGATGAGTTGTAGAAGCACTACGAATCCCCCCTCCCCCTTTATGATAGTTTCGTATTGAAAGAGAGAGAACTAGAAGGTGCTGATTTTAGAGGATGAAGATGTGACCCGTATATACGAACTTCCTTCATCGAGGGGGAGAATGTAAAGTAGAGTAGTGTTGGAGAAGTGCTAGAAAGATGTGGTTTTTTTTTTTTTTTTGCCATTCAAAACCCCAGAAGCGGAGAATGAAAAAGATACATTATCTGAAAAAGATCCAAAAGGATCCTTACATACATCGTAACCAAGAGACGAAGTCGACATGAACAGGGCATGACGAGCCACAGAATGAGCTTCCATGTTGTTAGAACGACCAATGAACCTAAGCGAGTAATCCGGTAAATCATCCAGCAAGCAACATATTTCCTTCAGAAGAATACCGACTTTGGAATGGTGAAAATATCTGGCACAACACTTGTCAATTATGATCTTCGCATCCCCAGCCACACTAACTGAATGAAGATTCCTTCTCTGACATTCAAGCAAAACGTCCCGCAGCGCAAGCGCCTCCAACACCAACGCATCATTCACACCATCCCATTGCAGAGCTTGCGCTGAGAGCAGACAACCAGAGCTATCTTTGATCACAAAAGCTTATGTACCCAGCAAACCCAAACGAGTAGCCCCATCGAAGGTAACTACATATTGGAACCCATTTGCCACATGCACACTCAAACCCCCATTCGGACTAGAGCCCAGAGTAGCACTAGCAGAATGATTCGATTGAAGAATTGCTAAATCAGCTTCAGATACTTGATGTCTCCATTGCGCTGCTAACGTTTCAATTCGTACCTGTTTATGATCAAAGAAAACAGAGCACCGATTTTTCCACAAACGCCAAAGAAGACACACTACCTGTAAGCAAAAGTAATCAGCATCAGGTTCATTGTAATTGTAGAGGGAGTGGCGGATGAAGCCTGCAAATGATCCTAACTTCCAAGTCTGTAACCGAGATTGGAATCCAGTGACCCTCCACAACCTACGAGCCACAGGACAAGAGAAAAAGAGATGTTCTAAAGTTTCTTCTCGTCATCCACAAGCTGTACACACGGGGAGAAGATCCATTCCACGCGTCGCCAAAGCTTCTCGAGTAGGAAGAACCCGCTGTAGGCACTGCCAAAGGAAGAAAAGAAGTTTTGGAGGAAGTTTTCGTGTCCAAACCCATTTCCATAACGCCGAATCAATGAATGATACCCCAACTTTCCGTGGAACAGGTCGAAGATGAGAGAAAGCTAAATGATAAGCAGATTTCACTGAAAACAGACCATTAGCCTCATAATGCCAAATAATATCATCCACAAGACGTCGTTGAGGAAGCGGTAGCTGACGGATTATAGCCACTGAAGCATTATCAAAGAAAAGTTCAAAGCAGCCAAGTTCCATTGCTTGGATCCTGGATCAATAAAAGCTGAGACAAAAGGATGACTTGACAGCGCACCTGGCTTTGGAGATGGTCGTGAAGGGGGATTAGTAGGAAGCCAAGTATCCTCGAAGGCTCTAATTGACTCACCATTCCCTACCTGCCACCGGATGCCTTGTTGAAGCACATCTCTTCCAAATAAAATACTCCTCCATCCATAAGAAGGATTACTCCCAGGAGCAACAGAAAGGAACATGTTAGAATCAAAGTTGTAACGCCCCCGGTAAATTTGAGCAAGAAGAGTAGTTGGCTCCTTAAGTATCCGCCATGCTACTTTAGCTAACAAAGCTTGATTGAAACAACCAAATTCCCGGAAGCCCAAACCACCATCAAATTTACTCATACACAGATATTTCCAAGAACGACAATGAATGCGACGATGTCCTTCTGTCGCCCCCCACCAAAATCTAGCCAAATGAGCATTCAACCGTCGAATCAAATCAAGAGGAAGGCGAAAACATGACATAACGTAAACAGGCAAGGCCATAGCAACCGATTTCAATAAAACCTCCTTTCCAGCGGAAGATAGACACCTGTTCTTCCAACCCGCTAAAACAGATAATAACTTTTCCTCCACATACCTGAAGGTGTCTATCTTTGAACTCCCCATTAAAGAAGGCAGTCCCAAATAATGATCCTGTAAACCTATCGAACCGATGCCCAAGAACTCCCCCAAATCTTCTTGGTCAGATTGAACCATATTAGGAATGAAAAAGGCTGCAGACTTCATCAAGTTAACACGCTGCCCACTAATGCTTTCATACTCACGAAGTAAAGAGAGAAGATTGACGCCATCCCTTTGGGAAGCCCTTAGGAAAAGAAAAGAATCATCAGCAAATAAAAGGTGCGAAACCATAGGACATCTATTGTTCATACGAACACTATGAAGACGATGATTCATAATAGCAGCCTTGATAAGAGCCGTGAAGCCTTCAGTATAGAGAGCGAACAAAAGGGGAGATAAAGGATCCCCCTGACGAAGCCCCCGTGAAGAAGGGAAATATCCCGCAGATTGACCATTAACCAGCACAGAGAACGTAGCCGTTGTCACACATTCACGAATCCAATTAATCCAGATCGGAGAGAAACCCAATTTGTAAAGAAGGGCAAAGAGATAAGGCCATTCGATCCAGTCATAGGCTTTCTCCATATCAAGCTTAAGAGCCATAAATTTTCACGGCCTAGCCTTTTATTCTTCACAAAATGCATAACCTCATGAGCTACTAACACATTGTCCACAATCTGTCGCTCCCGAACAAAACCATTTTGTTCTGGAGAAACGATTGAAGGTAAAACAATGGCCAGTCGCTTAGAAATAATCTTAGTTATGACTTTGTAAAGGAATCGACAAAGACTGATGGGACTTAATTGAGAAACATGTTCCACATTCTCAACCTTCGGAATAAGAGTAAGCCAAGTATGATTCATATTTCGCAATAACTTACCTGTAGAAAAAAAAAGATCGAATGGCTGCAATGACACTGTTACCAACAATGTGCCAAAAAGATCGGAAGAAAGTACCTGTAAAACCATCAGAACCTGGAGTTTTGATCTCTCCAATGCTGAAGACAGCATCCTTAATCTCTCGATCACCGACCGGAGAGGTCAAAATCCTATTCATATCATGAGTCACTAACTTCTCAACAGGCAGCATTTGAACTTTATGAGCAACACTCGTGGCAAAATCTGCATCAGGAGCACTAGAAGCGAATAAAGACTTGTAGAAATCAATAGAAACCTGCTGCATACCTTCCTCCGACGTCACCCAATCTCCTGAAAGCGAGTATAATCCCGCCAACCTATTTCTACGTCGACGAGCCCTTGTGATAGTATGAAAATAGCGGGAATTACTATCTCCTTTCTGTAGCCAAGTTACCCGCGAACGTTGTTTCCAATATAGTTCTTCTGATCTCCAAGCAGCGGCAAGTTCGGCTTCCACACGAGAAAGCTCAGTCCGATTAACAGGATAAGAATTACGAATTGATGAACAAAGTCCCTAATTTGGCGAGCCGAATTATTAGTTCCTTTTTTTGCCCAATGAAACAAACGATGTCTAGCTAATTTCATCCAAGACCACAATTTGTAACAAGGAGACCCAGAAGTTGCACTAGACCACACATAAGAAATAATAGTCTTTGCCTCCGCATTAGCTCCCCACCTAGCGTCAAACATGAAGACAGATTTACGTGGTAATCGATCTGAAGTCAAACGATAAAGAATGGCCCTATGATCACTTCCCTGATCTGAAAGATGCTCAACTACACCGTTCGGCCATTTATCAACCCAAGTCGCAGAAAAAGAAACCTGTCCAATCTGCTGTAAATTACTGTCTGATCCGAATGACGATTACACCAAGTGAACCTAGCTCCAATAAATCCAAGATGCATTAACCCAAGGTCATCAACAAATTTCCGAAAGGGTAATGATATGTTCAGGTCAAAGTCACGACCTCCGAGCTTTTCATTTGAACTAAGAATTTCATTATAATCCCCAACAACCAAGAACGGTACAACAAGTAACGCACAGTAACGAGACAAATAAAGAAATTGCTGCCGACGGACAGCTTCATCACAACTCATATAAACAAAAACCAGAACATAAAACAAACCATCCACACAAAGCTGCATAGAAATAAAGAAAGATTCAGAACACAAATAAGAAACAGACACCTCAGAAGTCCAAGCAACTACGAGACCCCCAGACACACCAATAGGGTTCTCTATACTACAATCCACAAAGCCAAGAGAATGAACCACACCATTAACATAATCACTACGTTTCCTGGTTTCACATAAAAATAAAATCGATGGACGATGATCACGAACCAGCCCTTCTAACGATTGAACTGTCAAGTCTGGGCCTAAACCTCGACAGTTCCACGCCATGATCGTCATTGCGGGGGTTGGGGCCACTCACTGCTGACTGCCACTACAGTTTCCAGAATGTCACCTGAATCCTCCTCCCCATGATGTCTCTTTGCTGCTGGTTCAAGCTCCAGAGCATCCGCCTCATTGCTAGCATCTTGTCTACCGTGTGGTTTAAACTTCTCAAACCTAGATTGGCATAGGCCCAAAATTGGACCAATCCGACTTGAGCCCAGCCCATTGTCTACCGTGTCTCCTAGTAGTAGTATAGTACACTAGTACAGAGCCTGCAATCAATTAAAAATACTTAATTCTATTCCGTTATTACACGCTGATAAAGAATATATATATATATATAAAAATAAAATTGCCAATCACGTCTCTCGCTCTCGGGAAATGGATCCCACAAAATGATTTGATACACTTCTTTGGTTTCGGCCCATTTGCTTTTCTCCTTCCCTCCCCGCACGTCCGTCGCAGCGCCAGGGGAAGAACAAGAACTTCTTCTTCTTCTTCTTCTCCAATCTCTCACCCTTCTCCCTCTTCAATCCTTCGACTCCCTTCCTTCCATCTCTCTCTCTCTTTCTTGTACCCTCCGCCGCTTCTCTCTCGTTCTATAGGCGCTAGCGAGCCGGCGACGGCGACACCGTTGCCCGCCGGGGGAAAATGGGCATGGATTACTACAACATACTCAAGGTCAACCGGAACGCGAGCGATGACGACCTCAAGAAGGCCTACAAGCGCCTCGCCATGATTTGGCACCCGGACAAGAACCCCACCACCAAGAGAGCCGAGGCGGAGGCCAAGTTCAAGCAGATTTCCGAGGCCTACGACGTCCTCAGCGATCCTCAGAAGCGCCAGATCTACGATTCCTACGGCGAGGAGGCTCTCAAATCGGGCCTCTTCCCGCAGCCTTCCCCTGCCTCTCCTTCCACCTCCGCCGCGCCCAATCGCCACTATTATCAGCGCCAGCACCCCAATCCTGCCTTCAGGTTCAAGCCCAGGGACGCCGCCGATATTTACGAGGAGTTGTTCGGTCAGGAGGCCGGCGGCGGTGGTGGTGGTTCCGTGGGGAATGGGGCTGGAGGTGGAGGGGCGGCTGGAGGAGGGAGAGGGTTTTTCAGGACTAATACTCATTATCATGGGAATGGAGGGGAGATGAGGAAAGCAGCCCCCATTGAGAATTTGTTGGGATGTAGCTTGGAGGAGCTTTACAAAGGTGTGAAGAAGAAGATGAAGATTTCTAGGAATGTCTTCGATGCTGCTTCTGGGTACGTTATTTCATCGTTTCTCTTCTTTTCCTTGAGTGATCGCATCTATGCTCTTGGGGGATTTTGCCCTTGCATTGTTGTATTGTATATAAATCAAGATCAGAATTCGGGTTCTTGACGTAGACTGGATGGGTATTGGGATATGGGGGAACTGGAGAAATGATCGTGGAGTGAATTGCTCTATTGGTTGCATTTACTGTTAAGATGTACCCTTTAACAAACCATTCTTGGAGTACTTTAGAGTAGGGTTAAGTACTCGTGAACATATAGGCTTTTGTTGGACGATATGTAATCAAAGTTACTGAATTCGGGTGTTGTTGTTGGTGGGATGTCAAGATTGTGCTGTGTTGTGAGTATTGCCCTTGGACTGAGATTTGAATCTGGAACTGTATACTTACTACTAGTTAGAAGATTCAATACATCCGGGCTGCTAGGAAGCTCATCCGAACTGGGAAAGTTATCTGATGTACACTTAGGTTCTGCTAACTTGATTTCAGGCCTCCCTCTGATTAGCTGAATGCTAACTGTTTTTTGTTTCAAATATTTCTGATAGGAACTTGGATCAAGTCTTTTTACTAAATTGCTTTCCTATGTTGCTCTGCTTAATGCATCTTTCCCTGTCTAGAAATAAGACTAATAAGGGCTTAGGCGCTCTCCTTTTGATCGGCATATGAATCTGGCAACTCTATTATGAGCATTTCTTGACCTACTTTCTTATGGGTGTATGTAATGTGGTTTCTCTGAGCGCTATACCTCATAGGCTCTTCTGTGAATGATGTGGCTTATGAGTGCTGGACTGACACTCAGGATTCGATTATGCCTATTTGATTCAGGCAGGGTTGATGTGGTGTGGTTTCTCTGCCATTGCTTCATTTTGTTGAGTATGTAATTGGTCAACAGTTTTGACTTTTGAGCGTGATTTTGTTAGTCATTTGTGCTTGGCCTCTAGGAACTAAAAGCTGCAGCACCATCTGCTGTATAGTGGAAACCTTTAGTTCTGTTTAGCAAATGGGGTGTGCAGTAGTTTCATATCTTCATTTCTGAAATAAGTGCACGTTCCCTTTCCGTTTCAAACATTACTTCTATTCTGGTTCTTATGATCCCCAGGTTTATATTCCTCTCCGATGAAGTTTACGCTAAATCACTGTTTAGCTTCTTTTCATTTTTTCCAGTTTGACTTCATTGTGAACCAATTCTCTTACAGAAGGGTTCGTCCTGTTGAAGAGATCCTGACAATCGAGATAAAACCTGGTTGGAAGAAAGGTACAAAGATCACATTCCCTGAGAAAGGCAACCAAGAGCCTGGCATCATCCCTGCTGACGTGATTTTTGTGGTGGATGAGAAGCCGCACCCGGTATATAAAAGAGATGGTAATGATTTGGTGATCAACCAGGATATTTCCCTTCTTGAGGCCCTCACCGGTGGAAGCCTGAACCTAGCTACAGTGGATGGCAGAAACCTTATGATCTCGCTCACAGATATAGTCAAACCTGGTGCTGAAGTGGTTGTCCCAAATGAAGGAATGCCAATCTCAAAGGAAGCAGGCAAGAGAGGTAATTTGAGGATCAAGATGGATGTGAATTACCCATCAAGGCTTACCGCAGAACAAAAATCCGAGCTGAGAAGAGTGTTGGGAGGAGTTTCATAGTGCTTCAATCAGGAGAAGGTCATCTAACAGCTGAGAATTTGGGGATGTACATATAGTGGAGTTATGTCATACATGTCAGTTAGGATATAAATTCTAGGGTTAATGGTTGAGTTGGATGTTGGGGAAACGCTGTGCTGGGAATGACTAACTTGAGTTCATTGGTAGGATGTGCCCATCTGTCATTTGCTGTTTCATGTTACTAGCATCTGATTTTGGATAGTGGATACAACACGCAACCGGGGTTTCTTCTACCACTGGTACTGCATAGTGAATGATTGTGTTGTTTTTCGAACAGAATTTAGAATCAAATTGATCGTGGTTCGTGTTGATGTTCTTATACGGGCAAGTGCGAGATTTTCTTCTGTTTCTGCTGGTATGTAAACAATAGCAGGTGCAAAGTGTTTGATTGATGCTTGGATCATATAATGGACAGGAGTACATTTGCTACTTATCCTGGTTTATTTTCTTGCCCTTTTGGAGGTGTAAGGAGAGGATGGGCTAATTTGCAATAGGTTGCCTACTGCTCATCATCTGTGTTGCCTTCCAAGATCACACGTTAGTCAATTGAATCAGCCTACATTGCCTGCTGAAGTCTGCCCAATTTGCGATCTGATCTGGTTCTTTCCTCGTCGGAGTAGGGTCTCTTTGTGGCATTCTTTCTCTGGATCGCTCCTGAAATCGAACAAACAAAAAAAATTGCAACTCCAACGCACGGTGTGCACCAATTGTTTGTCTTTTTCAATGATGATCAGACAGGAAAACAATGAGGATGTGAGTCTTCATTCATGCTCCATTTAGTGATCTTTTATTAGTGGATGGAGACCTGTGCAATGGCAGAAATGACCCTTGATCTATACCCCACCCAATTTCGCAATGGTACACACATCAAGTTTTGTGTGCACCACTCACACGGCGGGGAGAGGGCCACGTCGCCCAAGCCATCAACGGAGGGCCAGGATTGAGCGAGCTGGGCGTAAGAGAGGAAAGGGGAAAAGCGAAGCCGGCTGAGCCGAGCCAAAAACTGGAGGGAGGGAAAAGTGGTGGGGTCGGGCAGACCGCATTTGAAATTGAAAAAAAAACGGTCTCCTCCAACCGCCGCTCCTCCTCCACTCTTCTTCCTTCTCTCTGCGTTTTCTTTCTCTATTCTTCTTCTTTCTCCGTTTTCTTTCTCTGTTTTACTCTCGTCGAACCAGAGAGCACACCTCCCTGCCCAAACACAGATCTCTTGTCGACGAGAAAGAAGGACATCGGAACAAGGAAAGTGAGGACGACGAGGTTCCTTCAGCCGACGAGCAGCGCAGTCGATAACCAGGAGAGCCTCGACGAGAGTGAATCATCTTTCCTCGAGTCTGGGTATTTCGGCCGACCTTTCTCGCGTATTTGCTCCGGTGAGGACGATTCTCTCTGTCCTTTTCTTTCTCGGTGTGAGTTTTTCCCTTGAATCCCGCTTTTTGCTTCATTCTTGGGTGTTTAGGGTTTATTGAATACGCGTTTAGGGTTTTTTGGTACAGCTTCACAATCGACTCGATTCTCAAGGGTATTCTTCATAATGTGTCTTGTGTGGGCGAGATATGTCAATTTTTTGTTGACTAAGTTTTTGGGTTCTTGCTTAGAATCAGTAAATATGGTTAGAATCAGTAAGTTTTTGGGCGAGATATGTCCATTTTAGTTGATTCTTGTGTTCGTTGTTCCCTGTTAACCTTCAATATGTTGAATACTAGTTATTTTTGTTTGAAATATTAGTTGACTGTGTAGTTGACGAATACCCTTGAATGACTTGTTTAATGTTGACTTTGTAGTTGACGAATACTAGTTCTTCTGGTTTTGAATATTAGTTGTACAATGTTGACTGTGTTGTTGACTAACACTAATTCTTCTGGTTTTGAATATTAGTTGTACAATGTTGACTGTGTTGTTGACGAATACTAGTTCTTCTAGTTTTGAATATTAGTTGTATAATGTTCTTCTGGTTTTGAATATTAGTTGTATTCATTGAAATTGTTTGTCTGCAGCTAGATTAATACTGCATGTTGAAAGTTCGGAATATTACTTCTCTTCATTGTGTTGTGTTTTTCCCCCTTTTCTGAATATATGTTTTTTTGGTCTACAGGTTTGGAATAATGGTGCGAACCAAGAAGCGTGTTCCTAGACCTATGAAACGACCCTTAGTAGATGCCCCTGCTGCTGCTAAAGATGTTCCTCCTGCTGTTGAAGATGTTCCTCCTGCAACTGAAGATGTTCCTCCTGCTGCTGAACTTGTTCCTCCTGCAAAAAGAGTTAAGTTTGCTGCTGGGAAGTCTGGTGAGACCTCTGCAAGGAAGTTTGTGAGACTTCTGCTGGGAAGTCTAGGGGGAAGTCTGAGGGAAAGTCTGTTGGGAAAGCTGCGGGGAAAGCTGCTGGACAGCTGGGAGGAAGTCTGCTGGCAAAGCTGTCCGGGATTCTGTTGGGAAAGGTGTGGGCAAGTCTGATGGGAAAGGCAAGAGCAATAAACCACATGAAACGCAACATCGATGTCACACATCATCATTGTTGAGTGTTATTGAATTTTGGAAGAAGGATGAGGCCTACTATGAGGAATGCGACTATGCGAGAAGGAGCATAAGAAGGCGGGGTTCGATGGATTGCTGGAGATACGATTGCGCGACGTCGATAAGTCTCTGTTGTGTGCAATGGCACGACACTAGGATACTATTTCTGGGAGCTTCATTTCCGGAGTGGGAGAGAATAGGAAGGTGATGCCCTTAGAGGACAAGGATGTGGCTCGTGTTTATGGCCTTCCTCACGTTTGGGAAGAAATAGTGTTGGAGAAGTGATTGGACAAAACCAAGTTGTCGGCTTTTCAAGCCGAGATTGGGATGGGAGGAAACAGATGCATGAATTTTCCTCTGAGTGATATGGTGGACAAGTTAACGGATGAGAATGCTAGGCCTCCTGTTCGTAAAGCCGTGAAGCAGTTCATGCTGCTTGCCCTTGCCTCGCTGCTCCGACCATCATGGTCACGGAATTGTGAGCTTGACTATGCCGAGTTCCTCGTTGGGAAGATTGAGCAGATAAAAAGCTACAACTGGTCCGACCTTGTTGTAGTGGAACTGAAGAGTAGTGATAAGCTTCATAAACATATATGTATTTTGTGCATAAATGATTGATCTTTATGTGTGTGTGTGTGTGTGTGTGTGTGTGTGTTTAAATTGCTCTAAATGAGTTCATATTGACCGTGGAATGGCCCTAGTGTCATTACCAAGACATGTAGCGATTTAACATAGATTGAAGCTAAAATTGTGAACAAAACAAATTGCAGTGGACGAATGCAGGTGCAGTGTCAAAATGCAGATGTGCAGAGGCAAACGTCCAGCAGGAGGCCAAATCGATGAAGACCCAAATTGAATTATTGTGGTTGGAATCTTCACTCATCTGTCAGCAGCCCTCAGAAATTATTGGGATTTGATCATATTTCTTGAAGTGAGCAAATGGATTTGGTGGCTCAGCAATAAAGAAAATGATGGAAGAATTTATTGTAAAGAGAGAGACTTAAGGTGGCAGCAACCTTCTCTTGGAAATGGGTCTGCAATCTCCTTGTTTTGAGGGATAAAAATCTGCAGAGATGAACTTAAAAGAGGCAGCAACTAGGAGAGCAAAGGAGACACTTTTGGAGACTAGTTTTAGACAGAAAAACCAAAGGAGAGAGTCACTTTGGCACACTTTGGAGTTGAGCATTTTGAAGAAAGGAAGACTCTTGTAAGTTGGGGATTAACTCCAACACTTAGTACTTTCTCTACTCCTTTGTTTTGGTAGTTAGTCATCATGTTGAACATTAGCATGTTTATGTACTTTCTTTTCATCATGAACTAATCCCCCAATTTCTGGGGGAAACTTATGGATTTCATTATCTAGCCTCGATGTTTTAATCGTGACTTGTTTTTCTTCTTCCTATCGTGTGAAATTGTTTAATGCTTTGTGTTGATTGGCCACCTTCACAATGATTTGTAGTTTTCTAAGTTAATAACGATAGTAAAAACTTAGTAACCGAACACATTTCACACGACATAATTGCCTATCGAAGCGATAGTGGATTAAATAGGTAATTATGCAGTCATTTTAGGGATATCATTCTTAAGGCTAATTAATTAATTCAGTTAACTACGATAGTAGAAAATTGTCTTAATTAGTTAGTACGTGGTAATTCTCGATGGAGATAGCTATCAATTTAGGGGTATCTCGACTGTAGAAATATGGATTAAATTGATTGACAAGGGTAATTAAATGTACTGAGGTAAAATAGTAAAATCTTGTGTTTCCCCCGGAACTCTCCAATATCAATTACTCCAAAATAGTTGATTTACCGAATTACTTAATTTGTGCAATCTTTGCAAATCATCACTGGATTAAAACCTTTGGAATTCCTATAGTTTCTTGAACTAAATTTGTTAATTATTGAATTTCACCAATCCCCTAGAGAACGATAATTTTACTTACACTTTATTACTTGTACGACACTGTGCACTTGCAGTTTTGTCGCCACCAAGTAGTCTTGTTGCAGTTCAAGGAAAGGCATTCCTTGACTGGGTCCATGGAGATGTCTACTTCCTCGTTGTAAGATTTTAGTATTTGTTCTTTCATTTATGTTTTTATATATGTGTGATTGTTATGAATATTAGTTTTATCATGTTTGAATATGAGTTTGGTCTTTTTGAATATGACTCTGGTTTTTTTTAATATGAGTCTGGGTTATTTGAATATCAGTTCAATCTGATATGAATATTACTGTGTGTGTTCTATGAATATGGGTCTGAGTTGATTGAATATTACTTAAATCTTGTCTCGCCATTTATATTATTTTTTTCTCCCCAATCTAGCATCTTCCTCTTATTTTACTTACACTTTATTACTTGTACGGCACTGTGCACTTGCAGTTTTGTCGCCACCAAGTAGTCTTATTGCAGTTCAAGGAAAGGCATTCCTTTACTGGGTCCATGGAGATGTCCACTTCCTTGTTGTAAGTTTTTAGTATTTGTTCTTTCATTTATGTTTTTATATATGTGTGATTGTTATGAATATTAGTTTTATCATGTTTGAATATGAGTTTGGTTTTTTTGAATATGACTCTGGTTTTTTTGAATATGAGTCTGGGTTATTTGAATATCAGTTCAATCTGATATGAATACTACTGTGTGTGTTCTATGAATATGGGTCTGAGTTGATTGAATATTACTTAAATCTTGTCTTGCCATTTATATTATATTTTTTTTTCCCCAATCTAACATCTTCCTCTTATTTGGCTGACAGGTCCATCTGTTATATTTTTTGAAGGTCAAAGGTGTTGGGACCTCCATCACCCCAACCTGTAGCTACTGGTTCAAGGATCGTCAAATGAAGGTTGTTAAAGCCATCCATACCATGGGTAGTGGGGGGATAGCAAGTTTGTTGATGACAAGACTAGAGCTTCGACAGAGGTTTGATGGTTCTGCTGGAGATAAAGGGCAAAGCAGCACACAAGCTCCTGATGCTCCTGAGCTTTACAACTCTTCTTGGTGGGAAAAGGACGACTAGGAGCGCATGGACGAAGAGCAGGTACGTTTTACTTTTTTTTCCCGAACATACTAGAGTAAGGTAGATTGCATGAACTAAAAAATTTACACATACTTGTAGCTTAAGGTGTTGAAGTGCATGACTGAGTCCATGTTCTATAAGTGGAAGGCACGAC